CATTCAACGTGCCCGCGAGATATCGCATTATCCTTTTGATCGCAACCAAGTGCGACTCTTTAGGACATGATTGATACCTAGCGCATATACAAACGGAGTACATGATATCCGGTCTACTCGCGGTAAGATAAAGTAAAGAGCCGATCATACCTCGGTAGCGCTTGATGTCAACATCTTTACCTTTTTCGTTCTTGTCGAGATAGCAAGAGGTGCTCATTGGTGTGTCAATGGATTTCGATTCGGTAACATCGAACCTTTTAAGCAATTCCCAACAATATTTTGTTTGACACACGAATGTTCCTTCTTTGGATTGTCTAATTTGCAGCCCAAGGAAGAATTTTAATTCTCCCATCATTGACATTTCAAATTCACTTTGCATCATATCGGAAAAATCCCTGCACAAAACCTCGTTAGTAGCACCGAATATGATAGCATCTTCGTAAACTTGAACCAAAAGGATGTCTTGGTTATCCTTCTTGATAAAAAGAGTAGTGTCGACTTGACCCCGTTTGAACTCATGGTCCAAAAGAAATTTGCTTAACCGTTCATACAAGGCACGAGGTGCTTGTTTGAGACCGTAAAGTGCCTTTTTGAGTTTGAAGACATGTTCGGGAAACTCATAGTCTTCGAAACCCGGGGGTTGTTCGACATACACTTCCTCTTGAATGATACCATTAAGGAAGGCACTTTTAACATCCATTTGATAAAGTTTAAAATCCATTGTAGATGCAAATGCAAGCAATAAACGAATAGCTTCTAAACTTGCAACCGGTGCATAAGTTTCTTCATAATCAATGCCTTCTTCTTGATTGTAGCCTTTAGCTACAAGCCTAGCTTTGTTTCTAGTGATTATACCATTTTCATCGAGTTTGTTACGAAACACCCATTTTGTGCCAATAACGGAATGATCATTAGGTCTAGGCACCAATTCCCAAACATCATTGTGTTTAAATTGATTAAGCTCCTCTTGCATTGCCATAGACCAATGTTCATCATTAATAGCATCCAAGACGGTTGTTGGTTCAATTTGTGAAACAAAGGCCATGTGATTAATTGTGTTCCTAAGAGAACTACGAGTAGAAACTCCCTGTGTTATATCACCAATGACATTGTCAATCGGGTGGTTCTTCAATGTTCTCCATTCCTTAGGAAGCTCCGTTTGTTCCTGCGTTTTCTCTTCTTCTGGTTCCTTTTCCTTAACGATTTCTTCTTCATCATCATAAGAAAATGCAACATTATCAACAATACCTTTTCTCGCCAAGCGAGCATCAAATTCATCAAAGACAACATGAATAGACTCCTCTACGGTCTTAGTATGCTTTTTGAACACTCTATATGCCTTACTACGAAGAGAATAACCTAAGAAAATTCCTTCATCCGACTTAGCATCAAATTTTCCCAAGTTATCTTTTCCATTATTATGAATGAAAACTTTACATCCAAAGACATGAAAATAGGAGAGGTTAGGCTTTCTTCCTTTGTAAAGTTCATAGGGCGTTTTCTTGAGTATCGGTCTAATGACGGCTCGATTTAACACGTAGCACGCGGTACTNACACTTAGCTAAAGTAGACGGGGAATTTTCAAGATCAAACATGTAAATGTTATCTACTCTACTACCACAAAGAATAGTCTTATTGTCACACAAGCGTTCTACAATGCATTTTCTAGAATCAAAGATGACACGGTTACCTCTATCGCACAATTGGCTAATGCTAAGAAGATTGTGCTTGAGGCCCTCAACAAGAAGAACGTTCTCAACGGTTGTAGCATTGTCCTTTCCGAAGGTGCCACTTCCAATGATTCTTCCTTTGTTGTTGTCACCCAAAACGACATTGCCACCTTTGAAATACTCTAAACTCCTAAATTTGGATGCGTCTCCGGTCATGTGCTTGGAGCATCCGCTATCGAGATACCAAGAGGTACTCGAAGCCTTCAAGCACACCTACAAAAAGATATCAAGGAGACGGTTTAGGTACCCATGTATTGTTGGGTCCTTTTTGGTTGGCATATGTGCGATGTGTGTGCGTTTGATGAAAATGCCTAATTTTGGTGAAGCACACGGGTGCAATGTGACCTATCTTATTGCAATAGTGGCAAATAACATTTGGATTATTCATCCTATATGGTTGAGTGTAATGAGTTCTAGGTTTGCTAGGATGTGCTTTTCTAGTTTGATTATTAATCCTAGCATTTTTATTCCCCTTAGCTTTAACAAATGTTGTTTTTCTAGGTTGGTTTTTCTTATATCCAAGTCCTTCACCATTACTAATTTTTTGTTTAAGTATTTTATCTAAGGTGTTTGAAGCATTATTGAACTTTCCCAATTTGCTCTCTAAACTAGCAACCTTATCTTTTAGTGATGTACAACTAGAGCATGCAGAAGAACAAGTAGTTGAAGGTTCTTGTGGCCTTTTTCCAAAAGAGATAATTTCTTGTTTAAGTTTATCATATATATTTTTGAGTTCTTTGATTTCATTCTCAAAAATCAGGATTTTTTGCTTTACTTCATTGTTTTCTTTGGAAGCCTTTTTGAACATTCTTACCAAATCTTCTATAATGCAAACAACATCATTAAGAGTTAAAGGATCATTGGGAGAAGGTTCTTGATCACTTACCTCTTTTGATGTATCACCATCTTCAATGGCCATGAGGCACAAGTTGGCCACTTCTTCCGTTTCCGAGTCTTCACTCCCGGAGCCGTCGTTCTCCCAAGAAATGTAGGCACGCTGCTTCTTTGGTGCCTTCTTGTCCTTCTCGTTCTTGAGCTTTGGGCACATTGGTTTGACGTGTCCAATTTCACCACACCCATAGCATTTGGGTGGAGTGTTTTTCTTGGCTCCCTTCTTGAGCATCATCTTCTTGAATTTTCGGACAAAGAGTCCGAGGTCGGTGTCGTCGCTGTCATCATCTTCATCATCAACGTTGTTGTGGGTTGATGTTGTTGCGGGTAGAGCAATAGACCTCTTGTTCCTCTCTTCAACCACCTTTGAGAGTTGGGTGGTTTCGTAGGTAATGAGATTACCTCGAAGAGCATCATAAGTCGTTGTTTGGAAGTCACGACCTTCTTCGATTGCGTCCACCTTTGAACGCCATTTGGGGGATAGGCTTCGCAGCACTTTTCTCACGAGCTCTCGGTCGGTGTATGTTTTCCCGAGAAGATTGAGAGGATTGATGATGTTAGAGAATCTCTCAAACATTTCCTCAATCTTCTCATTTTCCTTCATTGAAAAGAGTTCATACTCGTGAGTGAGATGGTCAATTTTGGCCTCCCGAACCTGCGCGGTTCCTTCGTAAGTGACCTCCAATTTTTCCCACATTTGTTTTGCGGTTTCACACCGCGAGATTTTGCGGTAGTCATCCGCGTTAACACCGCAATAAATCATGTTTATTGCCTTGGCGTTGAGCTTCATCTTTTTGCAATCTTCGTCGGTGAACTCCTCTTCAGTTTTGGGAACATTGACTTCACCGACTTTCTTCATCGGGACTCCGCAGCCGTTCCTCACAATCAACCACAGCTTGTAGTTGTTGGATTGGATAAAGATTCTCATCCTCTCCTTCCAATACGAGTAATTGGTTCCATCGAACAACGGTGGCCTCGCGGTTGATTGTCCCTCGTTCACTCCTGCGTTGAACATTCTTGATGCCATTTGATCTTTTAGTTCCTGAAAAATAACGTATTCGAAGAACTTCCTGCTCCGATACCAATTGTTAGACAAATGTGCAACTCTAGAGGGGGGGTGAATAGAGTTGTTTTCAAGAATGTGCGTTTTTCACGTGTGTGAAATAATAGAATCGCAGGAATAAATAAAGAGAGTAAGGGAAAGAAGAACACCGAGATTTATACTGGTTCAC